CCATGGAAGGTTTGTATCTCTTCCAGGAAATGCTGCGGTTCCACAAGAATAGTGAGGCCCTGCATCACCTAGTGCAGGACTTTGTTTTAACTAATACTGAGCCATCTATTACTACTAGTGCTGAGGCATGGGAGAACAAGCTGGACTGGACTCCAGTCTCAGACATCACACAGTTGTCAGTGAGCTTACACTTCTGGTTTGCTTGGCTATTTTTTAAATCCTGTTTGCAAAGAGGATTTATTACTCACTGTGTGCGCACATGATGTATGAACTACATACTGGAATCTTGATTCTAACAGTTTCGAAGTTGTTTCTGAAAAGTACTACTTTGTCAAGCACAATGACATGAAATGTTCCCGCTCTAGACTGTAATGTCACTGCTGCTTGGCAGCACTATCATTTAGCTTTACCCATTGTTCTGTTAAACAAAGAGTGATTGTGCTCACTGACAGCATCCCCTTCTCTAACTTCACTCATGCAACTCATGGTTTTTTCCTGTCTTCTATCACTGTGCCCTCACCTTGAGATCAAAGATCATAATGAGCATAATGCTGTTCTGTTTTCCCTCCCTGCTGACTTCTTTTAGTATGTGACATTGTGTGATGGAAGGGTAATAGGGTTAAAGAGGGGAGGAATCGCGTCAATATGCAGTACAATAACGTAAGCAAAACTCTTTACTAACTTTGAGGTTGCACATGCATTGTTTTTTCCTATATAATCAAGTAAGAAGAGTTCTAACAAACACTGCAGTTGCATTCAAATCATATTTAATTGCAAATTCAAGTTCTCCTCTAATCTTTTTGACATGAAAAATTATTAGATGAATAGTTATTTAAAAAACTTTAACTTTGAAAAACTCTTCCTCCAGTAGGTGTTAGGAATCCTGACTGCAGGTTCAGTGGTGTTTAATGTGCAATGGTGAAGTAAGTTTTCTGAGAAGCAAGCTTTCTACACTCCCTTTACAGGGAATCACAATATAGTATGAATTAAATGGTGAGACAACCCCTATTGCTGATATGAAGGGCAGCCATTCTATATCACGTGTTGAAAACCACATCCTGCTTTCCTTATTACTGAATAGGGATGGGTTGAAGCAAGCCGCTGACCAAGGAGTCCTTTGCTCTTGTAAAGGAGAATCTTGACTTTTATGAAAGTACGTCTCTAAGTCTTCTTCAATATGAGCATTTGAAAATATGAATACAAATGTGAGGATTAGATAGATGAACCCCACAGACATGCAGCCACAAGATGAGAAGAGCCTAGACATTTCTTTCCTCCTGTTTATGCAAATGAATTGGTTAAATTGGCATACAGCCAAACAGAGGAGCTGTTAGCAGTGAGTAAATCTCAAAGTTTCTGAGGTTTGGCTTGGAGCAGCACCTAAAGCCGAGAACAAGGCTTTTTTCAGAGATTCTTAATCCTTCCTGCTTCTTAATGGGTGTGAAGTATTAGAATCTAGTTACTGAATAAAAATATTGGTTCAGTTTTTTAAAAAAGAATACTTGACTCATCTTCTTCCTGGACAGCTGCTAGAGCCTGGCAGAAGGCTCCTCTGGTTTAACACCCAGTGCACAGAGGGGACTGCCTAAAATATACTCCTCATCCTGATAAAGGATATTGTCAGTATCAGTTTGTTAGCCGAAGTTTCGGGGCCTGTATCTCCAGTCACAGCAATTCTCTCTGAAACTGGGAGAATCTGGATTTAGGTGTGGTTGCTGAAATAAAGATCAACTGGACTAGCGACATGAGCGCTCATGAAATTTTGCTGAGACTTCCTGGTGTGTCTTCTGATCCAGAACTGTAGCACATATGTCAGTGGTTCTTAACTGGGTGCCATGAGACCCTTTCAGGAGCGCCACAGCATAGTTACCTCTGGTACTGGTAGGTGGAACTGCTCTGCACACCTCCTGCAGAGCCACATCAGGAAGCAGCTGTGGCAGGAGCGCCTGTTCTTGCCACAGCCCTTTCAGGTGCAACCTCAGAAGCACATGGGACAGTTCCATCTGCCCCATGGGCCTCTGTCTGAGAGAGACAATGCAGGGTTGCACTGGGAAGGGCTGTAGCAAGAACAGGCACTCCTGCCGCAGCTGCTTCCCGATCTGGCTCTGCAGGAGCTACGTGGTACAGTTTCACCTGACCATGATGACAGTGGTAGTAACAGCATCCCAGGTGAGAACCATGCCCTATGGGGAAAATGTCTTGCTTTTGGCCCCTTCTCTCTTGAGTCTCTGTGACATGGTGTCCTTGCTTGACAGTATAATTGCTGATTACATGCCACTTGCTTGCATTAAAGCTGCTTCCATAATATTTTAAGGGGTGGTCTTGGCATGAAATACACAAGCTGTTTTGAGCTCTGGTAAGCACATTTTGTAAGTGATCATCAAAAGCAGCTCCTGTAGCCTTTCTGCAGCAAGCAGAGAAAGCAGCGCAAGTTAATGAACTGTGTTTTAACTTCCTGATACTGGTCAAAGCTTTGATCCATCTGGTTTAAGAGCTGCACAGACAGGATGGGAAGAAAGATGCTTTGGCATGCTCTCTAGTAACATTCCAACAGTTAATCAGCCTGCTCTGCAATCTGCTTCAGAGTTTGATTTATTAAATCTCCCTGCTGCCTGTACATGATCACTGACATAGACAGAGATAGGCAAGCACTTATCAAGGAGCAGAGTACTTACTGCTGTATCGCAGAGTTTACTGGCATAAAATGAAGGGCGTAGGTAATTGGAGGTGAAAGCTCAATCTTCAGTCTTTCTAATTAACTCTTATATCTTTAAGCCTGGCAATGCATTCATTAGTGACTAAGGCAGTCCAGTAGTGGTTCTCAACCGGCATGCTGCCAAAATCAAGAAGTTATAGAAGGGTGCCCTGACTGAAAAGTTTGAGAACCACTGACATAGCTACACCATGTAGAGAGGCTTCTGAATAAAAATGCCACCTCTGGGAAACCTGTGCAGTTCCATATTCTTACATAATCCCGTTGTAGTTCTTGTCATTTTTGCAGCTCCACATAGATCCCTCTAAAAAGCACCTATTTGTATTTTTAAGAAATCTTTTCATTACCCTGACAATTAAAGACAAGGTTCTTAGATCATGGACCAAGCCTTGGTGAAGCACATTCTACTTCAGTTTCATCAGGATAAATTTGGCCTTTTCCCCTTAAAAGTGCAAAATAAAGAAACAGATAGTCATGTATGAACTGGTCACTACTTACCAATATAAGACCATTTAGTTCCTGTTAAAAAAAACAAAAGACAGCTGTGAATATTTGAAATGTGAATTTCTTTATAACTTAACCCCCCCTGGAATTTAAATTGATCTGGTGAATTTCACAATACCTTCCTCTCTCAGCTACTATGCAACACCAGTAGGCCAGTTTTTAAGATTAAAAAGCACTGAACCCCTGTAATTTTGGTTATAGTTATTTGTGTGTTCTGCCTACAAGGCTAGCTTAGTTGAGTCATGGCACATACCTCCTTAAAACCCAAAGCTTTAGGTATAGCTGCAGTCTGCTCTTAGAACTCAGCTCTTTTCTCTGGCTTCTACATCAAGAAACATAAATGGCACGTTGCTGACATTAAGGTCACATGCATAGTTCAGATGGTTGAAACACGCCTGCACCAAGCAAAATGTTCATGGCCAGCTGCTGAAGTAAGGAATGACATGAAGTCCTTTCTGCACAAATACCTTTTGTATTCACCACCTGAAGCTGCTGAGAAATGTTGTACTTCGTTAAGAGGCTGTATAAGGTGCCTTTCTGTGAGGCATGGGACAACAGATCTGTAAGAACCTTGGTGACTGTTGTTTGCTTATTTGTTAAAATAGTCAGTGATCCAAGTTAAACCACTGCATGAGGGACTGAGTTTGTGGCAGCATCTTTCCATTTCATTGGAAGATCCATGTGTCACAACAAACTTCTCTACAGAAAACACTATAGTTTTTTTTAGATTTGTTAATTTGTTTTTTTAATTTGTTAACCTAAGTTTTATACTAAACCAGGGGTTAGAAAGCGGGGTATGTGGGAAGGCCTTAGGGGGGCACACACAGGCAGATGGGGATGGAGTGCTACCACCCACAACCCCGTGCTGCTGCCTCCCAGGAACAGGGCCAGGGGGGAGGGGCAAGGCACCCCTCTGCAGGCTGCACAGGCACTGCCTGGCCAGCCAGACAGGTGGCAGGGCGTGGAGCTCACATGTGGCGGCCGCTGCTGCCATCCACCACCCTGTGCTGCTGCTGCTCTGCATCCAGCCACGTGTCACCCCTCTCCTCCCCCCGCTCTATATCCAGCCGCATGGCACCCCCAGCTCCGCGTTCAGCTGCCAGCAGTACGCTGATTAAAAAAGGTTGAAAACCCCTGTACTAGACAAACACAGACACAAGGGGTCAAAGTAAAATTTTGAAGAATGAGTAATTAGCCAGGATCAATTAAAAGCTACTTTGAATCTGGATCCTGGTTTATAATTTTCAACAGGTACAGCTTATGCTACATATGGTTTTGATATTACATGTAGCACTGTAGTATAGATATAAAGATCTGAGAAGGCCAATCACAACAAAGTATCACATTTCTTGCTAACAAAATCTCTCTTTCCCAATCTCAGCCCATTGCTGATTGCCAGACAAAAATTCCATTAAAATAATTTGACCAGGGGTGTGGAACTTTTCATAACTGTTCAAGTTCTTTTTTTAAATTGCGATATATTCATAGTTGTAATTATAAAACTTCAAGCCTGCCATTGACTAATAGGTCCCTTCCAACTGTAGAAATCTATGAATCTATGACTCTGGGGCACTTGTTTTCATGAAGGTAGACTTAACTTGAAGCAGAACTGGTTCCAAACCAATGCAAATCTCAATTAGCCCAAGCTTGGGCACATTCAATTTGAGTTTATTCTTAGAAAAGCATCCTAAGTAAAGAGAATCTGAAAGCTAGTATCTGTATTTACACAATTACTAATACTTAGCTAGGTCTCCAGTATTCTGAAATGTAGTTACTTATATAGTACGGTACATGGCAACAACATGTAACTTGGTCAAGAGGAACTAGTGAAGCTCTAGAATTCCTATTCAATGGGTGGTAATAACAGTAAAAACTGATGTTGATAGGGCTCAGGCAGTATTGTGTCATCTAACTCAAATCAGAGAAAGAATTGATGGCTATGTAGGAAAACCCCCTTAACCCTGTCTGCACTGCAACAGGCAGAGCAGCAGTGATGGTGGTATGCACATTTGCCCATGCAGTAAAGTTGTCATTGTTGTTCTTAGTAAAACAAATACCACTCTACCTAGAAAATACCAGTAACTGTGGGATAAAGTATTTTAGAACAGCAATTCCCATAGCTAGACACAAGTCAACAGAATGTCTTATCTCTTTCTTTGTCAGTGACAGGGAACCCTTGTTTCTTCCTCATTTTTCATGCAGGGAATCTCCTCTGTTTGTACAAGGACACAGAATGATGAGTAACACAGTGATGTTTTTGCATAAAGTGGAGGAGGAACATAGTGGCAGTGGCCAATCACACAAGCATATGGAGAGGGACTGTTCCCTAGCTGTACCTTTGAAATGGAAAAATGGGGAAGTAGATAGCCCTTAGTTACTGTATGTGAGGAGTGATCGTTTCCCCACCAGAAACTGTTACAGTTGAGGAAATGGGAAAGACTGACAGACATGCTAGTTACTGTGTGTGCCGTAGTGGGACAATACGTGTTTTCTAATGTTTTCTCCAGAGGACTTCATAAGAAAGCTTCTCTCCTAGCCCAGATGTGCATTCACTTTCAAGCCTCCTGCTTTTTTTCCAAATACTTTATTCTGTGAGCTACCACAGAAGGACTCTGCAGGGTAGTTTGAGAACCACTAGCACACAGGTGAGAGTTGCTGCTGGAGAAGATGATAGTCCCTCAGAAAAAAAATGCCTGAAATAATAGTTTGACCTTAAAAGTCTAAATTCTACCCATCAGGTATGTGAACAAACTGCCATAATGTACTGCTTGTCCTGGAATGACACTGTAGGAAGCTGAGTGCTCAGGGTTCCTCTGAACCACACAGACTTCCCTCCCATGAATAAAGGTACTGAATATGTTGTCTTGCTGCAGATCTCCATGATTTTGTATATAGTTGCAGTTATTTTTCCTGAATAAATAAGAACTAATTTGTCAGAAAGGAGAAACAAGGGCTGCCTTCTCTTTAAAAATAAAATGAGCTCTATTTTATAAAGGCTGAGGGTAAGAATATGGTTATCCCACTAATATAGGCAGCATCCCCTTTCTGCCTCTCTGCCGAAGGAACAAATAGGTCACAGAGAAAACAGTACTCAACATGCAACTGGTCTTTAACCTGGACTCAGTCTCTCCCCCTGTAAATATACCTGCTCTGAGAAATTGCCTTAAGAGCGCTTATTCCAAGTAACACATGAATAAAAGCTCGTTTAGAAACCAGTAACCCAGCCAGTTTTCTGCATGCACATATACTAAGTTAAGATTGGCAGTAACATACAAATCTGAAAGGCTTTACTTTACCATTTAATGGTGCTTGCACTGAGGGTTGTATCTTTAGGAAGAGAAAAAGCACTGCAGTCACTTTGATTCTGCTAAAGCTCTTGGCTGACATCTCAAGGAAAGATTTATAATATCCCAACAGTTCACAGACTTTTCTTCCCTCACTGAAGGAATCCCCTGGAAGATAGCTTGCTAGCAGTACTGTGCACACAGAGCTACTTTTAATGAGCTCTTGCCCTTCTGTCTCTCTCCTGCTCCTTTTTGGTCTTGTTTTTATAAAGCTCCTCAGACTCAGCCCCAAACAAGTGATGTAATCAGACCTGCCTGCCAGTCACAGCATCTTCATGAAACTAATCATATTGATCATTCCTGTTCTGCTCTGCTCCAGAAAAGTTAGGCTTGGCACTTACCCTGGGGGATTGAAAAGGGAATTTCAGAAACCCTTCAGTGGAGATGCAGGTGTTTAACAATCGAGCCCTTCCTACCTTTTGAGGTACCTGTTTGTTGCATTGTTATTTCTAGCCCAGGATCACTCAGTTCACATTTCCAAGCCACCATGATTTGTTAGTGGAGTCATAAGCCCAGCTGTATAGACCCCAAAGACAGGAGACTGTAGGGGAGACTGCTTATAATTCAGAGTGAAATAAACTCCTGTGACAAATTGTCTAGGTTATGGGTAAGTGATTTTCTGATTAACAGTGCTGGGTTGATAGAAACAGTTACTGAGTCATAAGGAAACAGCCCCAGAGGTGGCTGTATGAGTGAGGGTCAGGACATGGTGGGAGGTAGAGGTTTGGTTATGTTCCCTGTGGAAGGAGGTTGACAAACATCCTCTTACACTGGAACATGGGGGGGGGGTCAGCCACCCCCTTCCTCATCAGGATCCTAGGATACAGGTGGGGGAGGGCTTTCTTCAGTGCTGCCCTTGTCCTAGTGAAGGAGTGCAGTCAGTTTGTCCCACAGAGAGATACCTGGTTCTGAGAGGCTCTCCTTGTTTCTGTTAATATTTTAATGCTGTACTGTCTTATGTATAACTTTTATTACCTACTTATTACAATTAATGATCACCTGTTAAACTATATTTGTATTCAGTATTCATTAACTAAACTTTTCATTATTATTAGCATTGCTATTTAGCAATTAATGATTGTTCTCTTAGAAGCATTGGGATTATCATTAGCATTACATATTTTGTACCTGGCATTATTAATTACATTATTTAAAGGACATAATCAGCGGAACTATTAAGATTTGGGCTCAATTCTAACCAGGTCTCTGGAAGAAAACTGGCCCAGGAGCAAGGTTTCTGCTCCAGAGCTGTTGTTTCCCGGGTCCCTGTGGGGCGAGTGGGGGCAGAGACCATCACTGGCCAGTGTACAGGTAGGCTTCTTTTCTTTTGTCTGTGCATGCTATCTGCTGAGAAGGGCTTGAAAGGAGCCCTTCCCCTGGCTCTGTCCCTCTCACTGTTCTCATAATTAATCTCATCTATAATTAAATGGATTTGAGCTATTGTGAAAGTTTTTTTTGTGCTCTTCTTTTCCTGGTTGGCTGCTGATTCCATTGGGTGTCCCCATTAGCATGAAAGAACAGCTCTCCAAGGGAGCTGTCACAAAAGAATTCCTGTCTCTCTGTCTTGTGTGCGTGAGAGGCATGAGGCTGCTGGGCTTTATGGAACAATGCCACAGGGTAGCTGTGCATGTGTGGGGCCTCCCATATCAGCTAATGCACTGGGGGAGTCTTGGAACGTGAACTGAGCCTTATTTTAGTGATTTCTGCTGAGAAAATGAATCTGATGTCACACCTGCCAAGGTTCAAGTCTCTTGCAACTTAATTTATGAGCTGTTGGATTCAGCAGAAATCATTGTGTGGGGCAACTCCTGTACAAAATAGCCTGCAGCTTAAGGGAAAGTGGTCTGAGCAAGCTGATAGGCTAAGCTCCCTTTTTCTCTTTGGACACCAATCCTGAATTCAGTAATCTGCATTTCAGACACCCTTCTGCTACCTGCAGCCTTGAGCCTAAATCCAGGGTTGACTCAATATTTTTCTTAGAAGTATGTAACTTCTATGCAATTTACATTGTGCATAGGTTTTAGACAAAGCCTGTCAAGGACTTGTTCATTCTATGGGGTCACTAAAGTTCCAACGGTGTATCCCAAATGGAGTGGTTTACACCATTGTTAACCAAAAAGTGGTAAAATAATTCCTGTGAGAATGTAGCTTGGAAAGCTTTTCTTGATGAAAGAAGCAACAACATCACTTGAACTCTACTATAAAAATAGGACATTTATTGAACTCAAAATGAAGGCAGGTTGGAAAATGTCCCACCTTTGAACTGCCAATTAACTTCAGACAAGGCTTCAAATACGGAGAGTCAGATGTTGCCACTGAACCCATGAAGTCTGAATAAAGATGCATCTTAGGATTTTGGTTTGTGTGTGGGTTTGTTGGGGGATGGATGAATAAACTAAATGAGAATGGACTGAAGGAGTGCAGACAGGAATCTAAAACAAGAGAGTCTGAGGAGCTCTGGTTTGGGATATTAGATCAGAGAAACTTGCAGGAAGGTGAGATAGAGCAGTGTCTAGAATCTGAAATAAGCAGAACACTCTTTACAAGTGACCTGCCAGAGTCATATTATATATCTGCCCTCAGTGCCCACCTAACCTTGGATATCTGTCCCCAAAATCAGTTCTCTACACTAAATTTTCTGTGCAGCACATATTCCAATTACCTGCAACATTCTGAAAAAAGCAGTATCTCTTGAGTGCCTAGTGGAAAGTTTTGATATTCCCCAAATGAAACTAGACCAGTGAGCAGCCCTGTTCCTCCCCCACCCCTCGAATACCCCCAATTGCCAGAGCATGATAGAGGTCGTTGACTAAAATCAGCGTGGATGGAACAGGGAATCTGATAAGAGATTTCATCTTCAATGTACCATATCCAGTAGAGCCCAAATAAATATCTCCTGAATGAGGGTGATGTTGCAACTCTTTTTCTCAGTTGTCCCAGCTACAAAGTGCAGATAATGCTTACTTGTAGAGAAAATGGTGCCAAGGCTCAGTATAAGGTAGTTGCACATCTGTAGCCATTGCCAATGTTCCTGGCAGTTTTCTAAACAAAAATGACTGTGTTCTGTGTAAGATAGGACAGTAACTGTGTTGTGGACAGTCTCCTGTAGCTTGTACATTGAAGGCAAAGAGCATAGAAGCTTTCTGTCAAATGCAGCCTTGAAAGCCTTAGCGTTGTCCCAAATTCCTTCTGAATGTGATGCCAAACCAAATTACAACAGAAAAGTTAACTGAGGAGATGCTGTCCGTGGAGATGTTGGAAGAGATGGGGAAGAACCTTTTTCCAGCAAAGACTGCAGGAGTTATTGCAGTAAGTTGCCATCACTGGCTAGAAAAGGTGTGGGTGCAGGACAACTAGAAAAATATATTTAAAATAAAGTCCCTATACTCGCAGCAGTTTTGACTGAAGGAAGTTCAGCAATGCCATCTGCATCTTTATGCCTACACTGGCCTGCAGGCTTGTGATTTAGAGCACAGAATTACAGATCATCCCCCATGATGACCTCTGTGGGTTTTGTCTCAGCCCCCTATGGTTTGTTACAGTTTGGTTTTCCCATGGCACAACTGCTATGCACTCATTTTCAATGACTGACTGACTATTTTGTGGGTTTGTACATATTTAGCTCCTTACATACTTTCTGGCATTGAAAAGGATTGCATCATCACTATTATGTGAGAATCAAATGAAAGGATATTTTGTGAAGGATCTGTTTTATCAGGGAATTAGACATAGACATAGACATCATCAGGGCTGGAAGGGACCTCGGAAGATCATCGAGTCCAGCCCCCCGCCCAAAGGGCAGGAAGTCAGCTGGGGTCATAGGATCCCAGCAAGATAAGCATCCAGTTTCATCTTGAAGGTGTTCAATGAAGGCGCTTGAACCACCTCCGGTGGCAGGCTGTTCCAGACCTTGGGGGCTCGGACAGTAAAGAAATTCTTCCTTATGTCCAGCCTGAAACGATCTTCAAGTAGTTTGTGACCATTCGACCTCGTCATCCCTTGGGGCGCTCTGGTGAACAAACGTTCCCCCAGATGCTGGTGGTCACCCCTGATAAACTTGTAGGTGGCCATCAGATCACCCCTGAGCCTGCGCTTTTTCAGGCTAAAGAGCCCCAGGGCTCTCAGCCTGTCATCGTAGGGTCTGTTTCCCTGACCTCTGATCATGCGCGTGGCTCTTCTCTGGACTCTCTCAAGCTTCTCCACATCCTTTTTGAATTGTGGAGCCCAAAACTGGACACAGTACTCCAGCTGCGGCCTCACTAAGGCCGAGTACAGGGGGAGAATGACGTCCCGTTTTTTTTCCCAAGGTGGAGAACCTTGCATTTATCGGCGTTGAACACCATCAGATTCTCGTCCGCCTACTTGCTGAGCCTGTCCAGGTCAGCCTGGATCACCTGCCTGTCTTCTGGTGTGGATGCTTTGCCCCAAAGTTTGGTGTCATCAGCGAACTTGGCTAGTCCGCTTCTGACTCCAGTGTCCACCTCATTAATGAAGATGTTGAACAGTATGGGTCCAAGGACAGAGCCTTGGGGGACCCCACTGGTCTCAGGACACCACGATGAGTGACTTCCATCAATTACTACCCTCTGGGTCCGACCCCGGAGCCAATTTTCCAGCCAGTGGATCGTGTAGGACCCAAGGCGACAATTGGCCAGTTTCTCCAAGAGGTGATCATGGGACACCAGATCGAAGGCTTTTTTGAAGTCAAGATATATGACATCAATCTCTTCTCCCTTGTCCAGGTGATAGGTCATCTGGTCATAGAAGGAAATGAGATTGGTCAAGCAAGACCTACCCGCAACAAACCCGTGCTGGCTATCCCTTAAGATGTTGACGTTGAATTGAATTGGGGATCTGGGCTTTAAACCTCCCCTTCCCCCCACAGCCCCCCAAAGTTCCATATCACTGATCAATAAGAAGATTTGATTAATTTGTAGAAGTATTAGGCTTTGGACAGTGTGTTGCTTGACAGCAACTACCCTGCTTTTTTTCTGTGTCCAATGCTGTAACTCCATCCAGACCACTCTAAGGCCAACAGAAATAAGGCTGTCTATCAAGAGCCTGCTTTTATTAAAGACAATTTAGATTTCTGAGAGGCAAAATTAAATTCCTACTACAACAGCCGACCAGGTCAGTAGAAGCCTTTTCCACTTACCTTAATG